ACTGAACTCAAAAGGCTGGGTCAGAGCCAGGCAGGAGCCTGGAGGATTCCCATGGCATCAGGAGGGAGGTGGAGGGGCTGGTGTGTGCCTGGGGCAGCTCAGCACAGTGTGTGTGTGTCTGCCTGTCCCAAAGCCCGTGTCCCCTGAGCCAAACTGCTGGAGCAGGAGGCACCATGGCCCCAGGAAGAATTCCACTGCTGTGCTGTGGGGTCTGGCAATGGCACCGTGGTCCCAGCAGGGTCACAGGGCTGTGGGGGCTGTGGGGAGTGGGGGCCCCATGGCTGGGAACACCCCACCTGCAAACTGTGTGTGGAGAGCCTGTGTCACCTCCCCCAGGGAGATCCCATCATTCCCCAAACTGTTGATGGGGGGTCAGGAGCCTGCTGAGGGGAAAAGCTGACCTGTGTCATTGGGGTTGTGGGGTGGGAAATGGTGGCTAGAAAGTGGAGACCAGTTCTGAGAAACAGTGCTGAGAGGGGGCTGGGGAGAGGGGACAGAGCCATCGGTGTCATCCCTGCAGGAAGCAGAGGAACTCCTGCTGAGGGTCCTGCTTGGCCAAGCTGTCCTTCCCAGAGGGACTGGGGCACACAGAGCTGGGACACCATGTCCCTGAGCCCAGTGCTGCTGGGCAGGGTGGGCACAGAGCCCCGGGTGTGTGAGCCCAACCTGAACTGGGTCTCCTTGTTGTGGAAGGGCTGGTTTTGCTTCCAGCTGCAGCCAGAGGTGTGTGCCTACAGTGCTTTGTTACCCTACGCCCTTCATGACTGATTCAAGCCACCCCACGTTGGTCCCAACCAATTCAGAAAAATGATCCAAGTGGTTAATTCAGGTGTCTCACACTCCTCTTGCCTCCACGAGCAGGAGAGCCTGGAGGGTGATGGTGCACACCGGGCTGGTGTTGGCTGGGACTTTCCATTCCTCCATCTGTGGATGATGACACCAGAAAATGGAGAAGCCAGCTGAAAAGACCCTCAGTGCAATCAAACCAAGAAATTGTGCTTTGTTCTATGTCCACAGTCATGGCTTTCTTCCTTCTTTTTTTTTTCCTTTTTTTTTTTCTTTTTTCTTTTTTTTTCCCCAGCAGCAGAGCCAAGGTTGGATGCCACAATCATCACACACGAATGGAGAGCAGTGGGGTTGGCTGGGGCCCTGACCACCACCAGCATGGGATGGCCTTGGTGGACATGGATGGAATTGATGAAATCAGTGGAAAGAAACAGGTATGACCAATTGCTGTCAGATTTGAGGGGTACAGCTCCCTGTGGCAGCCTCCCCTTCTCTTCCTTGGCTCTGTAGGAAATAGGGGAATGCCAGTCCATAACTTTAGCTGGGCTGAATCTGTGACTCCCCAGTCAAACAGGCAGTAGCTTTGTCTTGGTGCTGGGCCATCACTGTGGCAGTTGGCAGTTCCCCCCTGACTGCTTTGGCCACCCCAGCTCAGGGTGGGGACAGGACCTGGCACCGCTGGCAGGAAGGGCATCTGCTCCTCCCGGGTGCCTTTCCTTCCCCCACAGCCTCCTCGTGCTCAGCTGCCCCTCCCTGGCAGTCTGAGCAAAGGGAGGCAACTGAGTCACCTCCCCACCTTTGCTTTGGCAGCCAAATTCATCCCTGTGGCAGGTGGAGGGTTTGTGGAGGGACAGGATGGGATCGTGGCATTAGAAACAGTGTCAGAACTCAGGAGGTCCAGTGGATGCTTTAATTGAGGTGATATAAATAACTTCAGGTTCTTCGTGAGGGCCTGATTTTAGATGACCCTTCTAACCATTTTCTCATTTCCAGCACTATTTCAGCTGCTTCTTTTACCAAATGCTTGTGGAGAAGCCACCACATGTTTTCCAGGCCATTTGTGCTGTTCCTTACTTTCAGAAGGTGGCAGAGAAATTAAATAAGACATCTTATAACATGAAAAAAAGCCCAAATGTGGGTCACAGTGCAATGTGTAGCATCAGCACATGCAGTATCTCTTGAATCAGTGGTTGGGTTTACAAATAGTGGATGCTGCCCTGTGCTGGAGCCATCCCCCTTCCTTCAGCCATTGCAGCTGGAGGGAAAGGCACACTCCAGCAATTCACTTTTCCTGCAAAAATCAGACTACACAGGTAGGATGGAGCCAGGTGAAGGAGAATTCGCAAGTTGCATCACATTTCCCAGAGGTGGGATGGTGCAGTGAGTGCAGTGAGTGCTGGCTCCTGGCAGCTCGCCCGGGGGGCAGCCAACCCTGTCATACTGAGATAGATGAGATGATACTTGGTGTGACATTTAAATGCAAAGTTGCAGGGAGACAGCAAATGATTAGGCTTTTGGAAGCATCATCTATACTTATTGCTTTGGTTTGTGGTGTTTATTTGTAGATAATCATATCTGTTTGGGCTCCTTAATGTAATTTTTAGGGCATGCAAAAGCTTTTGGCTTAAAACATGCCATGTAGGAGGAAACTGTGGGGAGAAGTGAGTTATGTGTTCTGTAAGTCAGTTTTTTACTTCAGGGAGATCAGAGAGCAGTTTTGGTTTAAAGATATTTAAAATTAAAAAAAAAAAACAACTTAGAAATTCTCCGTTGATTAAAGTCTTCTCGGAAGTTTTTAAACTCAAAGTGCTCTGGGGCAGGTGTTGCAGCAGCCTGCAAGAAGAGCTGTACTGCAGAATTAACACTGAAGGAAGCATCAGAAAATCAAAGTATTGGGTTTCTATTGCTAGTCTAAATTCCACTTAGAAACAAGGTGTTCAGACAGGAATGTCTTGGAGGCCTCTGGGTTTTTTTCCTAGTGAAAGTTGTTGGCAGATAAACTGAAAATAAGCCGTGGCACTGAAGCAGTGGGTGCTGGGGCACGGGAGGAAGGTCTCTTGCACGAGCAGTTCATGCCAGAGCTCTCCATCTCCTGCAGATCCCAACTCCAAAAGCATTTGCCAGGGCTGAGGCTGCAGCCAGACCCAAATCCCTTGGAAGGGATTTACACCCAACTGGCCCTTCCAGGGCAAGATGAAGGGGCATGGGAAGCATTTGGTGCTCTCAGGGAGGTGCTGGGTGCCTGCCTGCTTTGCAAACACCATCCCAGGCAACTGCCTGATTCTCAACTCCTGATCCTATAGCAATTCCACTCATTACTGTTGTTAGTTTTGTAGTTGTTACTTTTGGCTCTTGGTCACGGTGTGTCTGGGTGGGTGCTGTTCCTGTGGAGTTGTGTGCACGGGTTGCTGTGCAGAGCATCCTATGCTGGGATCTCTCTGCTGGAAACCCACCCTCACTCCAACCACCCTGGCAAGTGGACACTCAGGTTCTTCACCACTTAATCACCTGCCCTCTGAGTCACCACAGTAAATCTGTGCCTTGTTTGCCCTAAGATGTCTCTCCTTGGTTCTGTACTTTGTGTAGCATCATGTAGAGGCAACAATCCCTCTCCTGGGACATCCTCCTCCTCTTGCTGCCCTCACCTCCACCTGTGTGCCAGGGCAGGGAGCTGTGGCAGGGCAGGGGTCCCCAAGGTGGCACTGGGGTCCCTGAGGTGGCACTGGGGTCCCTGAGGTGGCACAGGGGTGGCTGAGGCCCCTCAGCACAGCCCAGCTCCCCACGGGCCCCGGGGAGGTGTGGCACAGCCAGACCTCTCTGTCCCCACGAGCAGATCACGAGAAGGGTTTAAAGTTTCTCCTACACTTCATTCACATAAGCACTTTTTTTTTTGTTTTCCAGTCCACATGAAAACCATGGGGCTGGTGGTCTCTTTTCCATGCTCTTAGCTACCTACACTATTCAAATCATTAAGGGGATTATTTTTTGTCATTTTAATGGACAGGTTGGTTTCCCACCATGTTTTCTGTATTTTTTTCCAAGTTCTGGCAAAATGTTTAATACATGTGTGAGGATAAACTTTGCAGCTGGGGAGCAGAGAAAGGCTGGTTTAGGCAAAAATGTGCCTGAAGGACTTCATAGAGAAACTGCAAGTCATGGTTTTATCTTGGGGGAAAGAGCAGTACAGAATACACAAAGGTTGGGGAGTTCCTTCTGAAGACAGTGCAGAGCTGAGGTGTACATGTCATGCTAAAATAAACGAGTTGCACAGGAAAACTTGAAATTTCAAAGGTTTTTTTTTTTTCTGTTGATTGTATCTTTAAGAAAATTTCCCTTCAGGAAGTAGTACTAGAGTCAGTGATGCTTCTTGTTTAAAACTGCAAACATGATGCCCGTTAGTAGCATTTTCCTTTGCCTACTCTCCCCACCTCCCTCCCCAGTTGTGTGTTCATTGCTTTTTTGGGGAATTGGTGAAAACGTAATTGCTAGGAAGTCTCATTCATTCACTTATCTTTGAGTGGTTTCCCATGACTGGTGGCTTTCAGAAAACTGAGGTGGAAATAATCCATAGTTGAAGGGCTTGGGTTCTGCCATTACCCCTTAAGGGGTGCCCCTCACCCCTGCCCACAGGTGCCAGGTCTGCCCACACCCCCAACCCTGTCAGCTGCTCCTCACCCTGCAAAATAAAGGCATTCCTGCACCCTGGAGGAGGAGGAAGACAGCAGGCAATGTTCTCAGCCAGAGAGAACCATCCCCATGTTACAGCTTTGGTCACAGTTTGCTGAGCAACTTCAGCTGGTCACTGCTGACTGCAAGGATTCAAAGAATTAAAGTGCAGCTTCTGCTTGTGGACTCTTAGCAAGAGCTCAAGGCAGAAGAGGTGCCTCCTACTTGCCTACAAATAAAGAGAGACAGGTAAGTCCCTTCCCTCGGGGCTTTGGAGGCAGAAAGGCACATTGTGAGAACTTCTGTCTGCAGCCTCGGGACTCGAGGCCATCAGGCCCTTTGCATTTTGGGACAGGCCAGCCCTTGGCTTTCCATTGTCACCCCAAGTGAGCAGCAGGTTCCCTCAGGCTGCCATGCCAAGGAAACCCACAGCTGGGCAGGTGAAGCTCAGCATCCACACACATCAACTCTCTGAGGCACTTCTGTACCATTTTCACATTCACAAACACTGCCATGAACTCACTGAGCAAAGAGAATTCACTCATTCCTCTGGTTAGAGACAGGGCTTTGCTTTATTCTCAAACAAGCTGTTAGACTTGGGGAAGACTGTGTCTTTGAGCAGCCAGAGTTAGGTTATCTTGTACAGAAAGTAGTAAAAGTTCCCTTTGAAGCTTGTGAATTTTGGGTAGAGCAGGGGGGTGGCTATGAACACGAGACACCCACCCATGCTGACCTTGCCAGAGAGGGAGGGCAGGCCCTAATCCTTTGACAGAGCTGCAGCTGTTCCAGAGAATTTGCAGTGGATCTCCCCAACAGGACATAAACAAAGAACTCACAACTTTATTTTCCCTTTTAAAGCACAGAATACACCTAAATTAAACTGCCTGGTATTCATTTAAATTCTTTCAAATCATGGCGATTCCTAAGACATTCCAGAAATATGTAGAAAGAGATGAAGTTTAAAAGTCTTACAGTTTTAGACTCTGGCTAAAATTGTGACAAATCTTCAACAGATACAATACAAAGGAACCATATTTTCAGACACCTTCACCTGAGCTCTGTCAAGCCAGGCAGTGTATAATGTATCAGTCGGGCTGTCTGTAATGTGTCCTCACTGGAGGTTCTAATGAACATACGAGCCCAGGGAGCTGACACTGCACTTCATGATCTCAGAGCACTGGTCAGTGTTCTTCCTGATCCTGTAGAACGTTTCCACGTACTCAGAACGGCCCAGAAGTTCAACAAAATCTTCATCATGAGTTATCACCAGGAGCTGAAAGTTCCGCTGCTGGGAACGGTTTTTTATGATCCTGCAAGGAGATATTATTGAGTGTGTGTTTATCTAAAGCAGGTGCTGCTTTTAGAGAACTTGTAAACACATAGCACAAAAATTTAGCTGTCCATAACGAGTGACATGAACCATCAACCAACCTAATGCTGATTAGCCACTATTTTTACCCACATTAAAAAAACCCCTCAAATTATTTAAGAAATACTTTTTCTTTTCCAGAGAGAGGGAATTCAAGGCTACTGCTTTGCATGAGTATTTGCAGATGCCAAGATGTGCCACCTTAAAATGTAATTCACTACTGCCAGCTACTCTGACCACTTGAGAAATACCCATCCTTCAGTGTCACAAGGAGAGCTCACTCACTCCACGAGGGCATGTGCCAGAGACTCAATGTTTTCTCGGTCGAGGTTGGTTGTGGGCTCATCCAGGGCCAGGATGCCACAGTTGAGACAGAATGTTTCTGCCAGAGCAAGGCGAATAATAAGAGAAGCAAGCACCTAATGGAAATAAATAAAAAAAAACAAAACAAAACAAAAAAACTCTCACTCTCCAAAGTGTTTAAAGAGGTTCTACATGTGACAAACTATTTTTAATTCCATTGCAATCTGTGACTGAAGCTTACAGAACAATGTGCTGATAGTTCACAAAATGACAATAACTAATTAATTACTGAAAAACTACACTAACACTTCCAAGTTTGAATTGAAAGATGGACTCTACAAAGAAGTCAAGTACTCAAAAATCAGGAGATATTGAAAGTAAGGATTCTAATCTGAGGTAAGGAAACTACAAACTGCCACCTGCATTACCTCTACTCTCTGTGCAAGCCCATCCTACTGCACAGGGAGGGTGGAAATTTGCCTGCATCACTGAGTTACTGAACTTCTGACTACTTACTAAAACTGAAGACAGCAGGGTTTGCCACTGTGCATGTTAGTTTTGCATCAACATGCCTAATCATACCTGTAAGATCTCCTGAACTAGTGCAAATTACAGGTCACTCGATGGAAACTGTGCTGCCAAAAATATTTTCCAATTATCACGACTGCTGGCACCTCAGTTCATGATCAAAGAATTCTCAGAATATCGGCTCAGAAACTTGTTCAGGTTTCACTCTCATTTACATAGGACTGCAATGCAACATCTAAACTGCTCTACGAGACAACACACCAGGCAGGTGGAAACAACTCTGCACCCCAAAGTGTGGGGGTGTGGCTGTGAGGAACTTCTGACCACAGGTCTGTCATGGCTGGTGACATCAGGCCACTTGGCCAGTGCGTTATTAAAGCACTGGGACAGAAGAATGGGCAGAGCACAGAGCTGTGAGCTGACAGCACAGAAGGAAAGGCAATACCTGGAAGGATGGCTTGGTGACATGAACTGAAAGGTTACAGTCAGCAGTAGGAGAGAAACAAAATGTGGAGGGAAACAGGTCCTGTCAACTTAAGAGGTAGATGCAAAAAGAAGACCAAAGGCTCAGGAAGATAAAAAAACATGGGAACAAATCGATTGACCTAAAGCTGTGGTAACCTCAGACTGGGAGGAGCTGAACTTGAGGAGAGAGGGAAGTCAAAGCCTTCACCCCTGAAAGGAACCAGTCTGGTGCCCAACTGAAACAATGCAGGGTTCAGATGTTCAGAATCACATATTGCAGAATAATATATTGACAGCAACACCCAGACAGTGGAGTTGTACACAACTATAAATCAGAGCTGGAGCCACCTGTGCTTCAGTCCCTTCTGAACACGAGACTCCTCTGCATCCACCTGGGTCTGCTCTCAGAACCCCTGGGGACTAAACACAAAAAGCCATCACCTTCTGCCCAGCACTGCATCTCCCTCGCATGTCCAGGGCCGTGTCTCCCTTCACCATCACCACCCTGTAATTGTAGTTTCTTCTCTTATCAGCGGCTGAGACGTTCTCGTCGGCATCAGAACGAATTTCTATATATTCAATATCTGAAAACGGGAAGGAGACGGTTTTTACATTATCAAAAATCTTTAAAAATAACACGGGATTAAAGGGAGATGAGGTGTAATATCCAGTAACAATAAAAATTCAGTTCAGAACTCCCACTAACAGATACATCTTTGAAATTAATTTTTCCAAAATGGAAAGAATGAACTCCTGCATTTCCTCTGCCTCAAGGAAACCTTACCTTTGGAAAACACAGAAAAGGGAAAAATAATTCTATTTATCCTGCAATTTACTACATAATGTGTAATAAAAAGATTACAGTGGTGAAGAACAGATGTAGCCTTTACAATGAAACCAACTATTTTCAGATGCCAGATTTTCCATCTTGAGAACAAACACTTCCATATGCAGTGCTCGATATCAAATGGATACTCATGGGATAAACTAATAAAAAACATTACAAACCTTGCCCTCTGTAAATGCTTCGCCAAAGGTCACGAATTATTTTGTTGATTTCTTCCATCTTCATGCTATGAAATGTCATTATTGCTCTAAAGAACAGCAACAAAACCCACAAAATGTTAGAGATGCAACCATGGACTGCTATGGACTACAGGGGCTTTAGGGCAGGCAGCAGCTCCCTTTCCATTCCCTAAACACTTTTACTAAAAATAGAGGAAATACCAGTTGATTTTGAATGCAGAAGCATTTAAAGACTAACGACACACTATTGTGTAAATAATTTTTTTGTCAGAAACAGCTCAGTCTCAAGAAGTAGGAAAGTAATGCAGATAAAGTTATTTCCACTTGTTCCACTTTACTTGACTTTTCAAGAGAATTAAAATTTATGTGTGAGGTGTATTTTCAAACTGACACCAAGAAGATGAATCTCATGGTAAGCCTTCCAGAACACGTGTTACTCTTCAGCACAGTCCCTCAACAGTGCCATCACCAATAGGAAAGGAGAACCTGAAGTCTCCCCAGAGCAGAGAATTTTTATCAAGAATGTAATTTTATAATTACCCAAACAGGCATTATGACTAGAACTGCCTTTTTCTTCAGCAGCAAGATTAACACAGAATGTCATTAATAATTTTGAATTTAATTTCCCTGGTGAATATATCAGCATGATTTTAGTTCATTAACAGATAAAGTCCTAGACAGTGTTCAGGAAAGGACAGGAAGCTGCATTTCTGACTTGTTTTTTAAAGAAAAACTACTCTAGAATAAAAAAAAAGCTTGCTCAATTTATGGCAAGCGAACATAGCACAAAAAGCATAGCAGAAATAAAATAATCCTTCTGAAATGCACTTTTACATATACTTTTCCCACCTCTGCTCTTCCACCTGCTCTGGGGAATATCGAGGTATCAAGTCTAATAGGAATTTGTTAAGTTAAAACCGAAGTGTTTTCAACAATTTACTAAATTGACCCCAAGAATGCATTCCTCATCAATATTTATCACAACCTCTAACTATTAAGTCAATAAAGATCAGCTGATAGCACAGAACACCCACAGTGTTGGCTTTCCCAGCCCCATCCCCAGCTCTGGCCACTGGAGGTAGAATTTCGTCTCACCGATTTTTCAGACGATTACCCATAAGTGATGCTTATCTATTTTTCTTGAAATTACAAGCCTGTTTTCCTGTTTAGCCTTAAATAGAAACAATAGATGATTTGATAGCACACAAAAAGAGCCTAATTCTAAAAAGGAAATTCTTGGAGTGCATCTGCATTGCAGCTGAAAGGGAAGAACTACAGATAGCTCGGTGCTATTCCACCACTACAACTGAACAAACGGGGTTTGAGGGAGCCACATGTTTTACTTTGTACATGGTCACAAATTCAGAGATGCCCTTTTTGGCCAGTCAGCCCAAGACTAGCAAATAAGCTTCCAGAGGAAACAGAAACAATCACAAAGTTTGCTACACTTTCCATCAAATGCCAGACGTGTTTCTTATGATCTTGCCTTCTTTGATAAGCACAAAACCACCCACGCTGGAAAAGGGCAAAAAGCACCTCTATATTGTAATAATCAAAAACACAATAGTTTACCTCAGCAGATGATCATGGGAAACAAAAAATCTACCTGGTATATCTTATTCATGTTAAGATATGACCAGAAGGTGCTAAAATACACTGCTATAGAAATGAAAGTAGAGAGACCCAGGTTAATAATGGATTTAAACATGGATTTCACCTTTCCTTATCTCTCTCCAACTGTTGCACTCCAAATATGAGTCCTAACATGTACAACCACACAAACAAGTCCTACAGAGAACTGGGAATGAAATTATAATGATCATCAGACTTATCTATGACTGTATTAAAATCCAGTTATTACCATCAACGTATTTACTATTTGTACATTATAGACATTGACTTACAGATATCCTACATCATACCAATCCTGTGCAGTTTCTAGTGTGGTTGCATTAATTTACTTTAAAAGTTGCACCTTGTTATGTTATCCTAATATTTAAATGCCAGAATTTATAAAGACAAATTGCTATATATCTCAAAGAATTGTATCCATTTACCATTTCTAGGTTATCCTGGAAGCCCGGAATTGAAAGCTGCTTTTGCATCAAGGTTATTGATAAAGATGAAAACATTTCAGAATGACCCTCACATGACAATACTTACTTATCAAGAGCCTTGTAGTAAAGGTCCAGATCTTTGTTCACCAGCTCTGTTGTTCTCATGACAATCATCATGTCCCTGTATTTGTCCTCTGCGTCTTTGAACTGTGGCTCTCGAAGCTCCTTCCTAAACCGAACAATCTCTTCCTCAAACCCACGTTGGCGGCCAAGGGCGACGTGATGGTTCCTTTTCAGAGATTCTATTCTCTCCTCCAAATGCTTTTGTTCACTGTGAAACCATAATTGATACATGAGTCTTTTGTATTCAGGGTTACACGATTTTTTAATCAGGGTTCTCATTCACGCTAGACAGTAGCTCATTATATTGTATCTTTAAAGTCTGTAACAGTTAAAATTATAGCACTAATGCCACTGAAACAAAGACATTATTGAAATAAAAACATTTTAAAGTTTGTTAAGAACATATTCAAACCACTATTCTGAGTGGGAGAAGCAGGGTATCAAGTTCAAATGCTAAAGTGCTATTAACAGAGTTATAAAAAATAATTAATTTCATAGGTGGAATTTAACTAGGATACACCGAGCAAAATAAGAAAAATTATTGGGTAAGCTCTAGCAAGCTAAATAAATCTTTCACATGCAAGAACCAGCAGAGGGATAATTACTTTTCAAAAGTGTTTATTATCTGAGCAATTATTATTAAACTACTGAGGTAAACATAGAATATGCTGCTGGGACCTAAGTGAGCAGACTGAAAATGAAAACTAAATATTCTTATCCAGAAGTATGAATTATTTAAATGTGGATTTAGCAGTGAACATCATGAAAAAGGATTAGGCTGGAACAGGTATGAGCACATATTTCTATTTCTAGCCAGAAGCACTATTTAATTTCACTGAGTCACTTATGTTGTTGTCATGGGGATGTGAAGCAAATACAGGTGTGAAGGAAGTGGTCTACATGTCTGGGGAGAAAAGAGGACCAGGACACACGAAAACACAGCGAGTACAACATTCAGATATTGCCTGAATTCTTCTGCAGAGCCATTCTGTTTTGAAGGTGCTTACTTTTTCATTTGGGGTACTTTCATTTCTCCCATCTCCTTCATAAGTTGTTTTATCTTGTCTTCAACTTTTTTTAGCTCCTCGTTCCGGCTCCTCAAAGTCAGATTATCCTCCAGCCACCTTTCCTGTACCTGCCTCCCCAGAAAGCAAGGAGGTGTGCAATGTTTCAGTATATTGGTTCTCAACTACAATGTATGAGTTCTGTACAACTCTAAGCATTCTGCAAACATAAAATAATTGACAACAACCAAAATTATCACAGTGAGCACTTGTCGTGTGCTAGAAATGGAGCACAATGGAAATCAGCAGTATTATTTCAGCTTTCAAACTGGAGTAACACTTACAGTATTTACTTTCACAGGTGAACACAAGTGATTCTGTGTGTGAATATTAATCAATGTTTCAAATGGGGTAAGTAGTTTAGGATGAGATTTAACCAAGCCCCCTATCTCACTTCTACAAGTTATAGACAGTAAGTGGAGGGGTAGAATGGGTAAGACATATTTCCTATGAAGAACACATGCAGTATTTGAAATATATACACAGGAATTTAAAGTACATGATAAAATCTGGAGTAACTAGCAACTTTTGGTATTTTACTTAAAAAGGCACGTTTTCTCCACACACAGATACTCCTGAAAATGCTGGCTACTATCCCAACAGACCTAACCCTTTTGAAAATACCACAAGATGATAGTTAAATGTTTTTTGAATTTGCATACACAAATCTCAAGATTTTTTTCAGCCTAATGCGTGGATAGAAGCTATTTTGACTAACAGCTTGTTAAATAAATTAGAAGGAATTAAAATTTTGCACCACTACAGACCTAGACAGATTTAAACCAAAACTAGGAATTATTTCAACCACAAAAAGCATACTTGAAGCAATACATCCACCTTTTGAGTGTCAATATCTTGTCGAGTCACTTCCATCTCTTTACTTATCTTTTCCTTCTGTTTCTCACAGGCAGCCAAATGAGTATTTACTTCATCAAGTTCAGACTCCTTTTGCTAAAGAAATAAAATGGTATATGATTTAAGCACAGAAGTACTTTCCATGCAAAACTTTATTGTCTGGTTTTTAGATTACCTTTTTATAGTCTTCTTTTCCTTGTTGAATATAGTTTTCAATTTCTTTCATATACTTGTTTATATCTTTAACTTTCTCATTTATGCCATTTATCTGCAGAGAAAAGATTTCAAATGAAATATAGTCTTAAGTCCACGAGCAGATGTGCCCTGCATCAAAGATGAGACACTGGATAACTCTACTGCCAAAGTACAATCACTTATCATAACTCTCTTTAATTATCTAATAAACCCTTCAGCTTTTGAGATCCAAATGCTCCTTATAACCATGAAAATGTCTCTCAAAACAAATGGTGCTTACACAAGAGAGCTCCTTCACCTGGGAAAAGCAAGTGTGACCCTTGGCAAGGACAGGTGATGGCCACCTTTGCCATTCCTCTTAGGTCTATCAGGAAGGGCTTTTCAACCCATTGGCCAATAAATATTGCCAAATGTCCCAAGAAACTGTTTGTCAAGACTGCCAAAGGTTAATTACAATTGAGTTCATGTCCTGTCTGACTTATGTTCCTTTTCTTCCCTAAAAGCTCCACCAATCTCAAGCATCTGCTGAAGTTACAGCCCTTTCCTGAAAATAAACTCATTACCACAGTTTCCATACATGCCCGAAAAACAGTATCTAATCCTATCTCCCAGCTATGCCAAGAGCAAACAAACCTTCTCTTGTGTTTCTTTATTACTTGTAGTCCTTTTATTCACTAGATCCTCCTTCTCCTGCTGCAGTTTTTCTAAAGTTACATCCAAAGGAAATACTTGTTCTTTTGCTTCCTGAAAAGCAGTTGGAAAAAGTCCTTTTTATTTTCACATTCTGTTAAAAATCAGTAATTTTTCAACTGGTAAAAACAGCAACATGGTTACTTTTCTTTTTTGGGTGTATTAAAAAAAAACAAACAAACATATTAATAAAGTTCTGGATATTGCCCAAGATACACAAAAGCAGCACAGGACAAACACTTAAAAACACATCTCACTGGCCAGGATTAGAGACAATGTTAACACACCAAGATTATTATTTTTTATTTCAAGGACGACACGGCCAAGGGTTAAATAACAAAGGGTATTTCTCACCTTGACCTCCCTGCCCAAGGACTGCACCTCAGTGCTGAGCTCCACGCTCTGCTCCTCCAGCTGCCGCCGGCGCTGCATGCTGCTCACAATCTGCAGCCTCTCTGCCCTCAGCTCGTTCACTGTGCTCTTCAGCTGCTGAATCTGACTCTGCTGGTCCTGCTTCAGCTTCTGATTCAACTCAATTTTACCAGTAACTGCAGATGAAAACAGTGAAATGGTCAATCTGTTCTTAAAACCATTGCTGTCTTCCTTTTACTCTAAATCAGGCTGGTACGACTGGACTCAGTGCTGGTGAGGCCACCCCTGGAGCAACGAGGCTGGGGAAGGGACTGGAGCACAAGTGCTGTGAGGAGAGGCTGAGGGAGCTGGGGGGGCTCAGCCTGGAGAGAGGAGGCTCAGGGGAGACCTCCTCACTCTCTACAACTCCCTGACAGGAGGGGGGAGCCGGGGGGGGTTGGTCTCTTTTCCCAGGCAATGATCAGCAAGACAAGAGGGCTGGGTCTTCAGCTGTGCCAGGGGAGATTTAGGTTGGATATTAGAAAGAATTTCTTTCCAGAGAGGGTGCTCAGCCATTGGAATGGGCTGCCCAGGGAAGTGGTGGATTCTCCATCCCTGGAGGTGTTTAAGGACAGACTGGATGTGGCATCAGTGCCATGGGCTGGGAACCACGGCGGGGTTGGATCAAGGGTTGGACTGGATGATCTCAGAGGTCCCTTCCAACCCAGCTGATTCTGTGATTGTATGATTCTATGATGATTCTATGACTCCAAAAACCCGTAACAACAAACTAGGGGAATACAGTTACTTCAGAATGTAAAGTAAGTTAACTCAAATGTTAATGGCAGGAAGTTTGGAACATTATTTCCAGTATAAAAATTAAATACCAGTTTTGTAAGGCCTACCTGTATCCCACAAGTGTTTTTTCTCCTGTTTTTCTTGGCTTACTTGCAGAACAGTTCTACTTAAATCTACCCCCAGCAGTTTAGCCTCCTGCTGAGCAATTTTTCGTTCCATATCCCTAATATCAGTCTGAAAGTATAAGGGAAAATACTATTACTATTGTACTAGTGTTCAACAATGTATTTTTTAATCTTTGGCACTAAGAATAAGCTCAGGCACCTTCAAATTTCCCCCCTCTTCTGGAGCAATGTCACATCATTAGCAGTTGGGTTGTGTCAGCCACAGGCTGCTAGAAACTGGAATTCCTAACTGTGGAGGAAATCAGTCAGTGTGGATGGATGGGCTTTTGGCATTCTCAGCCCCCCTCAGGACAGGTACATGTACAGCTTGTCCCTGGGACAGTGGAACTGCTGGAGCCTCGGGAGCTGCTGCCACCTCCCACCTGGGAAACGCTCTCTGTCCTTTGCCTGGCCCCACATCCTCTGTCTCATTGTTCCAGGATGATTCTCAGGCAAGCAAAGATTTTGTGTTGGTATTAAGGTGCGAAGACTGTTCAAAACAGTCTTCTGTGCCAGAATAACAAAAAGTGTAGGATTCCTCTTTCCCTTTACCATATATTCAGAGGGCACAGAACCATGGGAATGGAAGCACATGTGAGGTGCTGAGAATACACTGAACTATAACAACTATAAGGACTGAGAAACACTTTGGTGTACTTGTGGTCCTGCTCATGTTCTGCATTATATCTTTTTTTCCAGTTACTAGCACAGAATTGAATCAGAACTCAAGGTACTCTGTGGTCCTTGAAAGAAAAAATCATTACGTAAAACATGAATTTTATTAGTACCAAGATCATCTGTGTTATACTGTCTTTTAAAGTATTTTAAAATAAAGACCTTAAAGTTATGTCATATTACTGAATAACTACATATTTAAATCCTAGCAAGTGAATATAATTTTATATGTTAAAAAAAATAACCAAAGCATACCTGGTACCTTTCCATCAGTGTTATATCCTGTAAACACACTTTGGCACCTTCCTCCTCAGACAAAGCTGTCTGCAGGAATGATTCCTGTTCTTCTATCTCACCCTTCAGACCTGTTAAATCTCTGTTTGCATTCTGGATCTTGTTCCTCAGGTCTGGAATTTCCTTTTCTTCGAGTTCAACTACAGTTTGCCTTAAATAAGATATAAATCCCTAAAATTTCTTCTGTCAAAAACAGCAGCATAAATTGAAGACATTCAAGATCATAAAATCTGTGATATGATTTAATAGTGGAAGATTAAATTTAACCAAAATAGTAACCCCTTAACCTTGCCCACATTCAACTAAGCTTTTGTTACATACCCAGCTAAGGTAATAATCCCTCATTTTAGACAGGTGAGATGAAACAAAACAAGCAAAATCTCTTTTGGTTTTCAACTTAATTACAGCAAGTGCCCATGAGAAGGTATAATCCACTGTACAAGAGTGCCCTCTTGTGAAGGAAAGCTCTACCCTCATATATTCTCAAATGCTCTCAAAATATCTCAACAAAATAAATTAACTAGATAAATTAACAATGAGATGAATTAACTAGTCCTAAAATAAAGCCTCCTTGATAGTTTTAATAATCAGAAAACAAGCATTTGCAAGAAAACAGCTTGCAACAATCTGGTTTGCTTAGTACCTCACCTCAGTGGTTTAAGGCTCATCATTTCATCCCGTTTTTTCTCCTTCCTTTTAAGCTCAGTCTCTGTTGACTTCAGCTTGTCTGGGGCCAGGCGCAGCTTGGACTGCAGGTCACTGATGACATCCTGCAGCTCAGCCTCCGTCTGAAAAACTCGCTGGCACACTGGGCAACAAGACTGGCTCTCCTCTGTCAGCTGTGTAATGAACTGGGAATAGACTGCAGTGGCTCCAGCAAGCACAGCTGGCAGAAAAGCAAACAGAAGACTTATGTTGAATAAACAGTTCATAAGCAGAGCTAAATCAGTGCTTTAGGGAGAAAAAGCAGAGCTATGCGTGAATTTACCTCGCTGTTTGGAACTTTTTTCAATTTCATCTTGAAGTTTGTTCAGATCACTGTCAAAATCTTGACTTCCACAAACATCAAAAAGTTTTGCTTCGTGCTGGGACAACTGTGCTTCCTTTTTTTTTAGCTCATTACTGGCGTAAGTTTTGTTATTTTCTACCAATGCCAGTCGCTTGCTGAAACATCAGTGAAGAAACTCTTTTATTTTCCAAAACCAAAGATTCAAACTGTTTAAGCAAAACCAAAGCCATGGGAAGTTAATCTAAAATTGGTATTCCAGAGCTGTTCACCACTTCTTCTTCAATGATTTTTCAGCCAATCTATAGCATTGACTATGCTATAGATCAAAGTGTTTCATTTTAAATCCCTTTAGTTTTCTATATGATGAGAAACTCATTTCTAACAAATAAAACCCTACAAAACTTTACAGAATAGGATTATCTACTGCTGCTTGTGAGATATTACTGAACCTCTCAAGGTTGTTATCACTCTGACACACTACAAACATTGTGATTTTAACAACTAGCACAAACTGTATCAGCTCTACATTACAGGAACACTGTAGGATGCTTTCTCTGATTTTGCAGATACCTAAATAAACAATAACGAATTTAGGTTAAAACTATGTTGAGCACATTAAAGTTTCCAACATTTAAAAACATAAATACTTATGGAGACATAAACAATTAAATTAATACCTACTTAAGGTTAGCAAGTGTATCCCTTGTCTGATTAATCTTTTTATTTTTACCATGAAGCCAGTCTTCAAGTTGTTTTTTATTTGGGAAGTATCCCAACAGGGACGTTAGTTCCTCAGAATGTCTTGATTTTACTTTTCTAATCTGCTCTTCTTTCTCTGCCTGGGGAAATGAAGCATTTTAAATTAAAGTTTTCACATCTTCAAGTTTATAACAGTCAATGCATTAATTAAGGTAATGGCTTCTATGAAGGCTTTACATCTGATTGGTGATAGACATCTGAAAAATACACAAATCTTAGAGCCACTGTATCAATTTTATGTCCCTCTCTTATGAGATAATGATTGAAAAATTACTTTGTCTTTCTTCAGCATCTCCATTTGGGTAATTGTGGTGGTATGTAGATTCAACTGCTCCATCTCTTGATCCAACCTCCTGAGAGCTTTGTCCAGGCTTATTTTCTCACTTTGCAGAGTCTGTACCTCCCGTTCCAGCGTTTCTACATTGCTGTTCCTCTCAGCCTTCTCCAGGTCATGTTCCTACACAAAAAATAAATGGCCAGAAAACACAAATAATGACACAAATCAATGAAGTTCTAACTAAAGGAAAGAGAAGAAAGCTCTTCAGCTCATCAGCTGCTACAGGACAGGCACAAGACTTGTAAAGAATCCATGTAAAAGGTCCAAGGCTGTGATGCTGGCATGGGGCAAGGCAAGCCCCAGGCAGAGGCTGGATGCACTGTCCTGGAATGCAGTGCTGCCCCAAGTCACTCATGCTTTTGCCAGAAGCCATAACCACATGACATAGCTCCAGGAAGCTCCCTCATACTTAGTTTGATTTTCTCTATTTTAGCATTTACTGTATATTAAATTTGGAGTTACCCTAGTGAGGAGGCTAGAAAAAACACTGTCAAGCACTGCATTCATACACTGCTAACACACATAAAATATTTGGCCACAAAGGCATAACCAGCTGTTCAGCTGGAATGTAAAATGCTTGTAACTTTGCAATATTTCATCAGCTAAAACACTTATAACCAAACAGTCCATCTCACAGACAAGTTATCTTGACAACTGTAGGTAGTGTGGCACTTCAATTCAACGTTTCTGGCCCACTGATTTAAGGGTGACTAATCTCCTATCACCAGCTGTGGCTATTACTCTATTTACAACTCGCCAAGCAGCAGTAGCATATTCTATGTGTGCACTGACCAAAACCAAAGTAGTGAACAGGCCCTGCCCCAAAGAATGCACTATCTAAAAAGACAAAGCACAGTGGGTATTAAAAGGCAAAACTGCAGCTGACAGTAAAGATCAAGGGGGGGTTAAGTTTTTTAGTTTTTATCAATTTTTTTAATGATACAGCCCAAAGTTTTTACTTCAAACTTCTATAATTTTTTCAGTTACACATTAACTTACCGTCTTGCCAATCTCCTCATCCAGCTCACTAATTCTGTCTGAAAACCCCTCCAACTGCTGCAATTCACATTTGACTTTCTTCAGCTCATCATGTTTCTTATTTTGAATATCTGTTTTTGTTTCATTGCTTCTTTTCGTGCAAAGTCTCTCTGAAAGAAGTCAGTGATAATATACTTATTATTTTTTTCACAGGAAAATATTTAAAATACTTTTCCCCACTAGTCTGCAAATAGTCACCACTGCAACACAAGACACTGAAATACTGAGAAAACTAGAACTTGCCCAAAGTTTTCTGCTGCAATGTTTTTGACAGGAAAATGCAGATGCATCATACCACTAGTGTTCCGTAAGAGGAATTCCATTTTTAACATGACTTCAACGAAAAGCTGCTTATTTTTAAACCAGCTGCCCACTGTAATTCTTCCTCAGGCTTTTGAGCTTGTCAGTGATCCACCTCCATGAGGGCTGCTAGAAAAACCTATGTGACAAACTGCCTGTCCAACAGCCTTCATGACCACTCCTAGTTCCAAAACTAACGTCCATGGAAAGATTCAGGAAACCCACAAGCAAGGATTCCAGAAGAAAAATGGTTTCAGTTCCCCCCCCCAACACTTCCTCCCAGCACCTTAAAGACATGTCTGGACCAATAACACACTAATTGGCAATACTGATGGCACTACTAAAATAACCAAGTTCTTACCATCAAATGATTTGCAGCTTCTGTGTCTCTCTCCTGTCTCTCCTTCACCAACCTGTGAAAACTGGTGATGTGCCTTTCACTGAAAGGTGCTCGCTCAAAACCATCCAGCTCCAGCTGTGCTGCCAAGGACTGAATTAAGGAATCCCTGGTCATGATGTGCTCCTGGTGACGATCTGCCTGCAGCTGCAGACGGCCTCCACAGAGAGAGAGAGTGACAGGAATGTTCAAAACCCCAAAATACATTCAGGATTCAAAGTCAGTTGCAACTATTAAAGCTTTTGAAATGGAAGTATTTTTAAACAAAACAAAAAGCTACAGAGTAAAAACAAGCTGTAGCTAGAGATTGTTGTTTCAGGTAACTAAATTTTTATTAATGTAATAAATCAATAACTTAAAAGCAAGCCTCTTAAAACACTAAAAATATTACTCTGATAAAAAAACAAACCCCAAACTTATTTTATATAAGTATATATTCTGTGCCTCAACTACTACAGCTCTGCTGAAGTTCCCATAATCCATCAAAAAGAGAATACACAATGTATGAAAGAACACTACCTGACTCAGCCCCATTCCCCACGTGAACAGAGAATGCTGGGCTTTCAGCTTTCATGTTTTTCTCAGTTCTAAGACAAGATGTACCACATGTTGCAATTAGAGCTCAGAACAAGTGCACATCAGAAACTCTGGGAGCAGAACACCCAGACCTGGCCCCCTGCAAGGTGCCCACACCCCACTGTGCAGCTGAGCCCAAACTGATGCACATTGTAGGAGTTCTGTCCAGGTCACATCCCTTCAGTTATTATCAGTAGTTCCACTTCAGAACTGAGTTACATTAACAAATAAAGACAAGGTTATAGATGAAATCTAAAATACCTCGTTCAACAAGCAGCTCTGATTTCTCACTGTTGAACCTCTGGCATTCTTTAGTGGCTCTGTCCAAGTCACGTTTATAGTCCAACAATCTCTTCTCCTTCTCCTTCACTATTCTCTGGTGGTTCTGGTACCTATTCCTTAGTTGTTCATCTGTTCCTTGGAAAACCTGTACGCCAAATACAAAAACCTAACTTTATTCTGTATTAATTAAATTTATAAGTCAATTATTGATGGTTTTAAAATGTACAGTTTTTAAAACAGAATTCAAGAAATAAAAGACAAACACCTCCCATGCAGAATTTCTATACTAACACATGTAAGGGGAAAATTTGCTACAAGCAAAAACTGGAAAACATATTTTTCTTAGGCTGATAAAACAAATTAATCTCAATTTTTGTCACACAGGAAACCTTTTCCATCTTCTGTTGCAAATCTTGATTATCTTTCTCCATTTGCTGCCTCCTGCTCTCGAGGGCCTTCACATCATTGTCCAGCCTCATTGCTTTTGTGAGATTCTGTTCAACTGTTGCCAGAGAACTCTGCAAAAGAAAAAATGCTGGAAGTAAAATATCTCACCAGCTTATGAATCCCATAATCAATTATTTTAAGTGTAAAACCTTCAGCATTATAAAATACTTGTAAAAAATAGGGAGGGCTAAGTTTTAGTTTGTGTTCATTTTAGTTTCAGATACCAGCTAAATTTCAGAGGTTTAAAATCAAGCAACAAAAAAAACAATGCTGCTACAAGAATTCTATGTTCTTAAATCTCCAGTGACTGTTTACAGGCTAGAGCAGCATCTGTCAGGCGAGCTGAGGTGTGCTTAATTCTGCTTCAGGGCAAAGGATTAGACATAAAAGTGTAAGATTTTTGACTGTTTTGTATGAAAGTACTAACACAATCATCATGCAAGTTACCTTTAGAGGTTCAAGCTGGCTCTCAATTGTTTTTACATTCTCCTTAGAAGCAGCCAGTTGAGCCTCTCTGTTGCTAAGATGATCCTGGATTTCCTGGGCTTTCTCTTTATTTTGTTTTAGATATTTCAGTTCTGTCTGACACTCTTTTACTTTCAAGCTTTGTTTCAGCCGTACCTGACGCAGAGCTTCGAGCGCTTTAATATACCTTTAAAAAAAAGGACAAAAAATTTCAGATCTTTTGGCAATATAGCAATGCTGCTGTGTGAAACAATGCCTCAGACATTTTCATCAACACCTACGTTATTAGAGAAGACATTTTCTTACTTAGTTTTTACTTAATTACAGTAAAGAGAAAAACCTTGTTGCGGAAAAGATCTCATCAAATTTTTGTTTGAGGGCCTTTCCTTCACTTAAGGGCCAGTTGGACTCCTCTTGGTGGCAGAAAATGACGTTGTTGAGCACGGCTTTGGAAACCCCGAGGGCACCGATCATCTCCCGATCTATCTCTGCACACTTGGAACTCAGGCTGCTGATCTTCTCGCCGTTCCTGCCCGAGCACAGGGAAAGAAAATCCCCAAAGAGGTTACCAGCAAGTTCTTTGAAAGGTAAACTGCATTTTTAACAGTATAATCTCGTTGTAATGCAATGATTCGAAAACTTAACAAGTAACAATTTATAAGTCCGTAATTACCATGTTCGACAGGTGCTTTTAACACTGTCAATATTTGTAGTCTGACTGTTACACGTTTTAAAACTCAGTGGAACCACCAGAGGGAGCAAAAACGCTCTGGAGTAAAGGAAATACAATTAAACAGTGGAGATGGGAGTTAAACACAGGCCAAAAATGATCTGAAACTGAAAATGTTCCTATGGAAGTAAAGCCTACATACTCCACATAATGTTAATTTTAAACTGTATCATACAATCAGAGAACCATGGAATAGTTTGGGTTGGAAGGAACCTCAAAGCTCATCTTGTTCCAAATCTCTGCCGTGGTCAGGGATGTCACTATCCCAGGTTGCCCCAAGCCCATCCAACCTGGCCTTGGACACTTCCAGGGATGGGGCAGCCACAGCTTCTCTGGGCAACCTGTGCCAGGGCCTCCCCACTATCACTACTAAGACAATTTTCACATAAATTCAAGCTGACAGATTTCTTAACGTAGAGGCTGTCAAATGTAGGATTTTTCAATCACCTACCAGATAAATTGGTGAAACTCCACACCTTTAATCCAAAAGCTCTGGTAGCTTTTAGGAATACGTTATGGAGTTTTCTCTAATCTTATGCATAAAGATATCCCAAAACCAAACAGATCTTCATGCCAAAGCAAGAAAAAAACACTTGACAACTTACTTTGTTCTAGTAATGACAGATTCCAGCGTTCTAAATTCCGGAGTCTTGCCCTTCTGGGTGCAGATCATGGAGCGCTGGACGGCCACGAGCTCTCCGTTCACATCCCGGAACCGCAGCCGGATCTGAGCTCTCACATCTGTTTCATTGGCAACCTCGGCAGAAGCAAAAAGAAAACCCAATTACGGAAAATCCTCCTCAAGGTCCAAATGAATATGTGCCTCCCCAGCTGTGGGGAATGTTCTCTTCTCCCCCAGCTCTCTGCTTTTCCTGAAACAATACAGTCAGCCCAAGTCTGCCAACAGCCTGAGCATCCCTGTTTCACTCACAACCCCGAGTGCAGGGAAGTATTTTATTTAGGAGTAAATACATGTCCAATTCAGTCACTACAACTCTTACCTTTGGATCGTGAACAAATGTTTTTCCTTTGGTTCCAGGAGGAAAATCTCCAGTGCATATATATTTAAGACATTCAATGATAGTCTAAGAAAACAGAAATAAATATATACTTATAATGGCAATTTAGAGTAACCAAGATGGACTACAGATAAAAGCACAGTAACAGCTCAAATATTTACAAATGAGTAAAATACACGAGGAGAGAGAAATAAGAAACAACATCTTATTTTTTTGAGTATCATGAAAACATGTTACTTTGAAATTTGTTTTAATCGGATATGGATCGATTTTGTGGAAAAAATCTGTAAATTCCAGGCAAGAAAGCAGATCTCAATGCTAAACAACAGTGCAGTGAACAGCACAACTTTTGCAATATTATTAATACCTTTCAGTAGAGATCATTATTCAAATGTTGAGGCCTTTCAGACCTTTTACAGCTCAAGCCCAAACATATAGCAAGCCTTACCGTTTTTCCTGCACCATTTGGTCCCACCAAAATAGTTAATGGATTAAAGAAAGTGATAATTTGTTTGTCTTTATCCTCCACCCCAAAACTCCTCACTCCGAGGATACTCATTTTCTCAATCTTGGACATTTTTGCTGAACTTCTTCTCTTCCAAAGTCAGAGGCGTAAATGTCATAAATCCTGTAAAACAGAGCTTTGTGAAAAATCCAGTGAGCAGAAATCACAGTGGACCACTGAAAGCTGACTAAATACCTATGCAAGCACAACATATGATAAATATATATAAAAACACAGTTGAGGCTCCTCAGTTACTGTTCAAGGTAAAAAACATATGAAGGCAAAACCCTTATTTGTTTTAAACTCAAAAATTAATCAACTCCAAGTTAAGTGGAGTATAAATCAATGCAGTTAAGAGAGTATATATTATTAAATCAAATACAATGGCCCAAAATAACCCTTTATCCACATCACAAACCCCATGCACGTGCTTTTAGAATACCCCAAACACAACAGAGGCCCCAGTATTTTTCTCTATGATAACCCACTGTTGTACTGCCTGTTCACCACTGCCTGTTTCCCACAGGTACATCCAGCATCACTTTGTCCTGATTCCTGCTGGGAAGGGGAAGACACTGGAGCCTTCCCAGGCCACGGGGTGGGAGCTGCCCCTGTCAGGAGGAGGCAACTCCGACCCTAAGGTCCAGCAAACACAACGGTGCCGTGTGTGTATGGCTGTGTATTCCAGGGGTGTTCCGGGGTGTATGGATGAATATTGCATGGGTGTTCCAGGGGTGTATGGCTGTGTATTCCAGGGGTGTATGGCTGTGTATTCCAGGGGTGTATGGCTGTGTATTCCAGGGGTGTGCGGCTGTGTATTCCAGGGGCGTACGGCTGTGTATTGCACCCCTGTTCCAGGGCTCCATGCTCAGCGCGCTGCCCTCAGGGCTCCCCCCGTCCCCCTCCCTGGGGTTCGGCCCTCCCGGGTCGGCTCGGGGGGTGCCCGGCGGGGTTCGGCCCCAGAACGGCCATTTCCTGCCGGGGCAGAGGTGGCAGCGGGGCTTTCCCGCCCGGAGCTCCGCGCTGCGCCGGGGGCGGGCGTTTTCCAGGGGGAGGCCATGAGGCGGCTCTTCCCCTGCCCCTTCCCCTGCCCGTGCCCCTGTCCCTGCCCGCCCGAGCCCGGCCCCCTCCGCGCCCATTCCCCCGGCCGTGCCCCCGGTCCCCCCCGGCCCCCCCCGGTCCCCCGGTACCTCCCGCCGCCGCCGCCGCGCTCCCGGCCCGGCAGCCCCCGCGCCCGCCCCGCCCCGCCATGGCGGCCCCGCCCCCGCCGCCTGAGGGCCCGCGGCCACCGGCGGGGCGCGGGGGCTGCGGAGTGGCTGGAAACGCGCGGGTTGAGATAAGAACGGTTTAATAATTGAGAACAAAGTCAAATACACTAACAGTGGTAAATAACAATAATAATGGTAATAAAAAGGGAAAGAAAGAACCCAAAGAACCGATGCGCAATACAATTGCTCACCACCGATGCCAAACCCCCTTCCCAAACCCCGCTGGCCCCCCTTTCCAGGTAATTCCCCGGTTTATGTGCCGGGCATGGAGTTCCAGGGGGTGGAATGTCCCTTTGGCCGGCTCGGGGCACCGGTCCCGGCTCTGCTCCTCCCGGTTTCCCTTCGGTCCCTCCTCGCTGCCAGAGCGTGACACACACACACAAAACGTCCTTGACTTGGGATGAACACGGCTTACTAAAAACCCAGAACATCAGTCCCTAATGCACATTGTTCTCATTATGAATCCAAAACACGGCACTGTGCCGGGTACTGAGCCGCGATGACCTCCGCCAGCCAGGGCGGGCGGGTTTGGGGTGCAGGAGGGTCCCAGGTGAGGGGGAGGACAGGGGATCGTTCCCTTTGCCTGCTCAGGTTCTCCCCTGGGGCCAACAGACCTCCTCACCCCCTCGTACCAGGCTTTTTCCTCTTCCTCTTTGCTCCATAGCTACTATTAATATTAATCTTCCAGTTAGAAAAAAGCCGGAGCCAGAGGACTGCCCCTTCCCCCCCCTTCTCTGGAGCTTTCTCATCCTGCTCCTGAGGACCACAATTTCCCAACAGGACCAAATGTAGGGCCAAAATGCAGATGCCATGAACGCTCTTACCTCGACCCGGCAGCCCCCAGCCAGGTGGGAGCCATCTCAGGTTCACTGTACGAGCCAACAGTCTTGGGAATCTAATTTGTTTAGATTTTCAGCCTACTCCAAAACTGATTAATAACTATACCAGCATATTTTAGTGCTTGCTGTATTTCCTCTGTGAAGGGAAACAACACCGCTAGTCTTGTGTCAGATCAAGTTCATGGTTAGGTAACAGAGGCAAACTTTGGAAAACAGCCCTTTGTGCTCAATCTCAGCATCATCTGTAATTAAACTGAGTAACAGTTTAGGTGAAGTAAGTCTGGACCTTATCAAAAGCTGGCAGCCAGCAGGTGGTTTTGCAGCCAACAGTTCAGGCTTTCACTCTGCAATTGTGCTCTGGCGATAATCTGGCTTTTTATGAGTGCCAAAAAGGTTCACAAAGCATAAGCTCTGGCCACTTCAGATTTTGAGACAAGAAATTAGGATCCATATTGACACAACAGACTGTAAAGATATTGCCAGAGATATTGCCATCTTTCAGAAGCAAATACAGCTCCTCTGAAGAGATGACACCAGATTATACTCCATTTTTTTGTTGCCTCCTGCCTCAGTATGACTCAGTCGTTCAGCAGCACGATGCCAAAAGGCTCTGTTGTCACTGCTTTCTCCAGTGCAACACTTTTCCGCATTGCTTTTAGATGATGCTCAGACCGTGTCCTGACTCTGCAGCCAGTCTGACCTCCGGAATATTCTCCAAAAGTTGTTGATTAGGACACAGCTGTTGGCGGTGTTTCTGTTAAGTTTCCTGTTTCACCATTTCCCCACCAATATGAAGTCTATTCTCTAAAGAGTGTGTGTGTTTTTGCTACTGTGGGATGGTTTAATGGGAATGATTCCTTCACTTGTGATCGGTCTCCTCTGACCAGCACAGTTATCAGCCTTTCAGAGTCTATAAATCCATGAGTGCAAGGGTGGGAACATGAAGGGCTGAGGAGCAGAAGGGACTACCTCAGTCACTGTTTCCTGCAATGCATATTATCATGTCATCCCTTCTAGAAATCTGTCAATCTGGTTGGAACATTCAGCAGAAGAACAAACAGTGGTTACAAACTTTTATATTTCCATTCTAAACTAAGAGCAGTCAAATGCTGACTTCTATGAAGGAATGTAAGTATATGTTGTATTATTTCCCACATGCTCTTCTGGGAGCCAAACATTTTCATCTGGGGACCTTTTATGTTTCTTTGGATGTGCCCTGACAACAGGATGCTCCATAAGCCTAGTGTTAAAAGCTTTATCAGGAGCTTTTTCAGTAAGGATCAAAAGATCCTTTCAAGAGGGCTTTTTAAACCTGTAGTTACACTTTTCTTGAGGAGTTTCAGGACAAGAATTAAAAAACAAATTAAAAAATTTAGTTAAACAATGTTTTCAACAAAAACAGATCTGCTCATAAAATGATGTATTGAGAAATTAATAATTTGATGTGCACAATCTTCTTTGTTTCTATGACTCTCAAGCAGGTAGCTGTGGAAAACCAGATGACTCTTCTCACACCATTGAATAATTAGTCCAATTCTGCTGGAAAATTGTAACCTTTTAATGACTGACTGTTACCCTCTCACAAGCCCTTGCCTGGCATCTGAAAGTAGATTTCAGCCACTTATAATCACTTCAGTGTTTTCCAGTGGACAGAGATTTTCCACTTACGTTGAAGGACAAGGTTTTCCCTTGGTGCCAGGACAGCTAATTTCTGCCATCAATACCTGCCATGCTCTCACTGTTGGGCTGCTGCTCATGACACCCATGCCTTTCCCAGCCATGTGTTCTGTACTGAATTTCACAGAACAGTGAGGGTGAGGAAGGAAGGCTAAAGAATTCAAATTGTTTAAGTGGTGTTATGGTCTGTGTACATCTAAGAAATTGCTATTACTTTTTACTCTGCCTAGAACTGCAGTTCATGTTAGAAAATCCCACTGAAAAAAGGATGGCATATTACTGAGTGGGATGTAAAAACTACTTAGCTTTTCAGATCTCCATCTCTCTGATTATGTGATGCAAAAGAAAGAATAGAACCACATAAAGATCTGTGTTATACAAGGAATGCTCCTCTTTCCTGCGATTTTTTGATATTGTGTAAGAAAATGACATCTCTTATCCACAAAGGTATTTTCCCCTTACTTGATGTCAGAAGGAAGGAAACCCCCAACCTGTCCCCACTGAGGCATCCCACAATGCCTATGATAATTCACACTATGGTCTTGTGCCTTTTCCTATATGAGAAAACTTTCCCTTTCATTTAATATTCAAGGTGTACATGAGTATATATAGGCAGTGCATAGTGCATAAATCAAACACAGCCTTCCTCGAAGCCAAAATGCGGTTGCTCTATATCCTCTTAGTGAGTTGCTGCTTACCTGGCTCAATGGGAGATGCAGTAAGAGAATTTCAAGACAACCTCAAGAATCTAACGAACGAGGAGGTGGGTCACTATCTCTTTTTCTTCATTTTCTGCAGTTCTTTTAATGGAAATATAAAGTGAAGCCCACGCTGGTTTCAGCTCTAGTTTGCGCGTCCTGTGTCTTGTTTGTTAAAGTTGAGATGCTCAAGGCACTGCGTGTCAGACTCTCCTCAGAAGCTGGTGCTGTAATTGTTTCCCCAAAGGAAGTTCAGAAATAGAAAACTTGATGAAGATGATATGTACTTAGAGATGTTTAACAATGTGGCAGTCACTTAGAGGAGAAACACCTTCTAACAGTATATTCTTTTTTAAAATTTTAGACCTGGATTCAAGTACCCAAGGGGAAATTTCAGGTAAGACTTTTAAACTTCTTTATTACTGCTGTTGTTAATTATTTGAAGAATGATGATGCTTTGTAACAGATCTTGAGGGAAAGTGTGAGAAGCTAAAAAAGACCGAATCTCACTAAAAGGGAATATATTTACTAACTGCATGTATATAGGCAGTGAACTTCCTTGTATGCAAAACTATGGAAATAAATAACCAATTCTGTGACCATGGTCTCTGAGACTTGGTTATACCCCCGCTGAAGGCAATCTCAGGAGCTCTTGCAGAGAGTTTACTACTGAGGATGTTCTCAGTGTTGCTGCTTGAGGTGCAGACCCTGAGCATCACCTTAAGAATTCTAAGGCATCACTGTCTTTTAGAACCAAAGGTGGAGAATATGGTTATTATTTGAAGCACTAAAATGTTCTTATCTCTTGGCAAAATTATTATCTCGAGGTGACCTGAGTGCTATAAAGCATCATGGAGTTTGTGCCTGAAGGAAGCAATACACTGGCACGAGTTATTGCCCACAGCCCTGTTGATCCGTGGTTTCAGTCTGTGGGCTGCAGGTTTCTCAGGCTCTGTGAACTGAAAAGAGGTTCACGAAAAATAAATAACGACAGGCAGTCTGTTATTGGGAGGTCTTGTCTGTAGAGAAAAAGTGTTTAGAGTTTGAGACTTTAAAGAAGGTGGAGAGCAGCACTTTATAGACAGAAGAGTACAGTGGTTCTGTCCTTCTGTGTGGAGATGGAGCCGGGAGAGGCAACTGGCAGAACTAACCTCCTCAGGCTACCCAGTGTGGTTTTGATAAAACTGCAACCCCAATGGATTTTGATCTGCTTTTACAACTCTTTTCCTTATTTTTCCTTTATAACAAATGTTTTAATGTTATGTGCTTTTTTCCTTTCCTGCTCTAGATTTTTTATCAAACGCCAGAAAACACAGAAAAGTAACTCTTTCTCTGATTGTACAAAAATAGAGTAGACAATAGGTAATTTCTGTTTCTGCTGTACATGCAGATAGTTATTGAATTTATTGAAAGATAAAAGTTAAGTCGTTTGGTAGAATATAATTTTGCTGTTTTGGTTTTTTTTTAGTGCAACCGTGTTCCCTGTCAACTTAAAAGAACCATAAAAGGGCTGAAAGTTAAGAATGAGCAAATGAGAAAATCCATTTCTGTGTTGGAGAAAAACATGAATCACATAATATCAGCTGTAAATAAAGGACATACAGTAAGTTTCTCATCAATTATTTATAGTCAGAGCATCATGGAATGGTTTGGGTTGGAAGGGACCTTAAATCTCATCAAGTTCTAACCCCCCTGCCCAGGGACACTCCAGGTAAAAAAGTGAAATTACTGTAAATGGACCACTCAT